CGCGACAGCAGGGGAAAGGGGACGCACCGCCCCGGGGGCCGGGCTCGGAGGGCGGGTGTGGTCCGGAGGAGTGGCCGGGGTTGGGGGTGCGGGGCCTTAAGGAGGGAGCCGGACCGGAAGGCTGAGAATCACTTTATTGCACGCGTTTGGGGTCGGGGGGAGTCCCGAGAGGGAACACACAGCAGGCTCCGTCCGGGTGAGAGGCTCAGGGGGGCATGATTCCTGGGCCTGGGGGAGGCTCGGGTGGTGGCTGCAGCTGCTGCCTCTGCTGCTGGAGCCTGGCTCTGTTGGCCCTGCAGGAGAGAGCACGGGGCGGTTGGCACAGGGATCCTAGAGGCTGGTCCAGGACAGTGGAGAGGGCAGGGTAGAGCAGGGACAGACCTGGCTCGGGCCCGGGTGTCATTGTAGATGGTTGTGATGATCCGATCCTTTTCATCCATGAAGCTACGGTGCATCTGCTCCAGCTTCCTGCAAGGGGGTTACAATGAACTCTGGGTCCCCCAAACCCTACTGTCCCCCACTCTAAGGTGTCGGTGCTGTCTATCTGTGGGAACCTCAGCCTCACTGCCTGTGCTCGGTGAGGAGAGCAGCGGAGTAGCCAGGCTTGTCCAGGGTCCAGTGGCGACCCCGGTCCCTGGCTATCGGGCTGAAGGTGGTGACCGCAGCACTGAACATCGGGTGGCCCTCCAAGAGCTTGGAAAGGGCTGTGTGTCTAAGGCCATCACTGAGCTAGGCCGGCTGTTAGCGGGCGCTGCCTGTGTGTGCGTGTGCTGTGGAACCTGTGTCACGGCATGCACGAGAGAGGCGGGAGACAGCTGACTGCCAAACAAGTGAGGAGAGCCGCTGGGGAGGCAGTTACATGCATTTTTCTTCTGCGTGATTTTGGTTGGCTCCACCACTCCCTGGCAGTCGGCACCAAAGGTTTACATGCAAATTATAGAAAACAAAATAAACTGAAAATGACGTGAGCCCTTAGTGAAGAGCTGCCTTTGCTAAGGAAAAAGAGGCTCCGGAGACCTACTTCATACAGTTCTTAGCTTGAGAGACACAAGAGAGGTGTGGGTGGCTGACCCCCTGCCCGCCCCTCGGGGAAAGGCGGGAGCACCTGAAGGCGACGTAGTGCAGGCCCATGCCTGCCAGCATGATCAGGAGGCAGTACCCCAGCACCCGCTGGTTGTGTCTATACTGCTGCTGCCTCGACTCTGGTCTCTGAGGCCTCACGCGGTGAAACTGGGCCCAGTATTGTGCATTGGGGGGTTCCCAGGAGCTGCTGGGAAGGAGAAAAAGAGACAGTGTGGGGAAGAGGCTCCCCAGGAGATTTGGAGGAGAAGAAGCGAATTGCAAAATACTGTACCTGTGCGCCTGATGAGCAGGCCTGGGAGGGGTGGCGGCTCCGGCTCCGGGAGGCGTTGGGGGAGTTCCTGAGCGGAGCTGCTGGTCGTAGTTCCGACGGCTCTGCTCCCGGCTGAGCACTTGGTATGCTTCACTCAGCTCCACAAAGCGGCTGTGCAGGGCTGGGTTCCCGGGGTCCCGGTCAGGGTGCAGCTGAGGTGAAGCAGGACTCCCCTCATCTCCCTTCCCATGCTCCTCCCCAGGACCCATCTCCATAACATCCACCCACAAGGGCTCAAACCATTCCCAGAGGCCCTGTCTGGACAGTGACCTTACCTCTCAGGCCCTCAGGCTGGCCACCGCACCAGAAAGCCCGGGTCAGGAAGCACTCCGCCTCCCTCCCCACCTGCTGCCTACCTCTCGCTAGATGCGCTGGCCCGAGCAGGCAGGTCAAGAAAAACAAGCCCCTCAGACAGGACCCCTGGCTTTCCTCACACCCTGCCCGGCCTCTGCCCGGCGGGCACTTCCCCCTCCCTATGCACGCGGAGGGAAGGTGGTGCCAGCCAGAGCGAGCCCCTCAGCTCCATTCCTGGAAATCTGGCTCAGAATTCCCCTCCCACCTCCCTGCCTCGGACCACTGGTACCTCTTTGGACTTGGAGAAGAAAGCTCGTTTAACTTCTTCGGTGCTGGCACCAGGATGTACCCCCAGCAGCTCATAGTAGTTTCTGGGACCAGACCTGTGGAGAGAGGCCACAACCTGTAGGGGCTAAGGCAACACAGAAGATACCTCTTCCTTACCCATCCCAGCCCCGCTGGGCACACCCTTCAGCTCAGCAACCAGGAGCCGAGGGGCTGAAGCAGGTGCCGAGGGGGACCCATCTCCCACCCAAGTACTAACCAGGCCCAACCCTGCTTAGCCTCCGAGATCAGGCTCATCAGGGTGGTATGGCCCGAGAGGGGAGACCTATCTCCAAACAACCCCTCCTGTCCAGTGTTTGAGGGGCGGGGGGTGCAGATCAGACCAGAGTGCCTCAACATGTGGTCCTCAGGCTCCTTGTGTCAGAAACTGCCGAAAAGCTTGTTTTAAAAAAGGTTCCTGAGCCCATCTCATTCCAGAGCAGGACCCAGGAATCTGCATTTTTTGTTTCCAAAAACCCACTCCCCCACGGGTTGGAATCAGCGATGCTCCACACCCACAGGGGTTGTGGAAAGAGCATTGGGTTTGGCTTTGGCCCAAACGCCGAATCTGCCGCATAACTCTCGCTGCACCACCTGGGCGGTCATCCCTTCATCTAATGATGGTTCTCAACCTTCTGGCCCTTTAAATACAGTTCCTCATGTTGTGACCCCCAACCATAAAATTATTTTCGTTGCTGTTTCATAACTGTAATGTTGCTACTGTTATGAATGATCATGTAAGTATCTGATATGCAGGATGGTCTTAGGCGACCCCTGTGAAAGAATCGTTCGACCGCCAAAGGGGTCGCGACCCACTGGTTGAGAACCGCTGATTCTAATCCTCAGCGGTGCCACGGCAGGGAAGGTGCGAGTCCCCGAGACGAGGCTGGGAGGCTCCTGCCTCCCAGTTCCTAACGATCTCAGCACCTGGGGCCTCAACAAACACCCCCGGAACCTCGGGAAGGCACCGGTCCCCGGCGACCGACTCACCGCTGCCGGGCGGCCTCTGCGAAGAGCCGGGTGGGAGGGCTGCGGGGCCACAGCCGACAAAGGCACGGGGGCAGCAGGGGCAGCATGGCGGCGAGAGGACAGCTGGTGGAAGGAGGCCACAAGGAGAGTGCATGGGGACCAGACTGTGAGCACCCCGGGGGCGGGGGGACGGGGCCCGGCCCCCATCACCGGCGAAGGAAAGCTGGAGCAGGCCCGGAGGACCCAGGCGCAGGTGGGGCCTCCTTGCTCCAGCCCAGACCCCAGCGCCCGGGACCTGTCCTGCCCAGAACCCAGCCCTTCCCCACACCGGCCTCGACGTCTGGACAGCCAGCCGCGAGCTCGGAGACCCCCGTGCCCAACCCGGGAGCCCTGGGGGGCGGGCGAAGGAGGAGCCACGCCGAGCCCCGCCTCCGCTGTACTCACGGCCGCCGCCATTTCCTGCGCCGACTCAGGGCCCACCCCACGCCCTCATTGGCTTAGACGCCAAGGCCACGCCTACCACGCCGGAAGGGCGATGCCCTGCCCCCTTAACCCATTGGCCTGTGACACCTCGGGCCCGCCCCCGGAGGGCGGAGCCAGGGAGGCACCGAGAAGTGCGGGCATCGACCCGGAAGCGGGCGGCACCGAGCTGACATTTAGGGAGGCTCTTGGCCCAGCTGTCGTCGCACGAACATGGCTGTCACGCCGCTTTGCAGGGAAACACTTTTCACAGAGCAGTTTCCACCCCATAGTCGACCCGGACCCTCGGCCCTCAGCCCAAGCTGGCAGAGGGCAGAAGTGAGGATGGGCTTTCTTTTTTCCAAGTCACTTGTCCTGTCTCTCACCCACCCAGGCTCCCCCAGCGGCCCCTCTCCGCCTCGTGGAAACAGCAAATGTCAACGGAACCCAAGAATAAAGTCCTTTATTGTCCTTGGAGCTAGCTGGGTTGGTAGGGCTGCGGACCCGAGGGCGACTCAGGTGGGGTGCCCCTGGCCCCGGTTGTAGAGGATGATGGCGCCTTTGGCGGAGGGGCACAGCTCGGCCCACATTTCAGTCTCCTGCAGCCTCCTCACCCTCTGTGGGGAGACAGAGATGCAGACACCTAGCTGTCAGGGCTCTTGGAGGAGCTGTGCCTGGAGCCCCTGAGCCTCAGAGCCCTCTGCACGGTACAGCCCCCATTGAGACATGTAAAGAGGCTGAACAGGTCCCTGGCCCCCTCCCGTGGGCTTCGGGCATCCCCAGTGAGGCCCGTGGCTCTGGAGAAAAGCTCCGAGAGATTTGGGAACCCCGTCTGAACCCCTCCCGCCCCCATAGACATGCATCACCAGGCCTCTGCAAGTCCCAACCCCAGCTCCTAGGCCCAGCCAGACGTTGCCACCTCGCACCTGTGTCTCCACAAAGATAATGCCCGTGGACTCATGGGCCTCCGGTCCCCCACTCATGTAGTGCTTCCTCACCTGCTCAGAAGTCAGGCTGCACCTGGGTAAGACAGGGGATGGCCTGCTGGGTGCCCAGTCCCAGGAGGGTCCCTGTGGAGCCCCAGCTGCCTCAGCCATGCCCCTCAACCCACACCACCTACCCCAGGGCCCAGGACCCTGTCCCCCAGAGCTCACTCACTGGACGTAGAACTCGGCACTGGCACGGCCCGCACTGGTCTCATTGCGTGCGATGCCCAGTAACAGCGGTTGGCTCAGGGTGGGCAGTGGCAGGTTCACCTGGGGCCAGGTCCCACCTGTCAGTGCTCGCTGCCCACAGCCCTGCCCCTCTCCGTGGAGACACGCATGCATTGCCCTTGTGTAGCATTTTACAGATGGGAAAATCAGACCAGAGACTAAATAATTTGCCCAGAGTCCCCAAGGAAAACCGATCACTCAGCCTCCAGTTACTTCTTTTCAGCACACCTGGGTGGCATAGGCAAGACCTTTGCAGTGTTCCCATGGTAAAGAGAAAGAACTTGAGGGGCACAGAAACGAGGGCTAGGATTCCACTCCAGCGCGCCCAACTGCAGAGCCAAGTTCCTCCCTCAACGTCTCATGCCTGCAGACCTTCCCACCAGCCCAGATCCAGGTTGATTCTGGCATGTTCTACCACCTCCCTCCCAGCCCCCCCACCCCGTCCTGGCCACCCTCACTCACCTCATCACTTATCTCCTGGAGGACACTGGAGAAGAGCTCACGCACCACCAGCTCCCCCGGGAGGTCCTTGTGCAGGGGGACCTTGTCACCAGGGCACAGGGCCTGGGAGAGGTGAGACTCAGCTCCTGCCCCCACGTCTTCCAGCCCTGCCTCCCCCAGTGCTCCCGGCCCTGAGGGCCTGTCTGTGTACGAGTGCTGGCCCCTCACCCAGGCCCTCCTTTTCCAGGTGGGCAACCAGAGTCCTGCTGGGCCCTAGCCCCCATCCCCTGGCTCCTCACAGATCTGGGGGAGGGTCCGTGAGGAGGCTGAAGGGTGGCCTTGAGCAGAGACCTTCACAAGTACCAGGCCAACTCCTCCTCTGAGGGATGAGGAAACAACGCTGAGCTGTCTGGGTCTTGGTGCCTTTGCACCCGGCCGCCATGCGTCTCACCTGAGGCTCAGGGTGCCCACCAGGCACGTCCACCAGCCCAGGGGCTTCGGCCACCCGCTGAGAGCGGCGCAGGAAGACGAGAAAGTCATCGGCGGTGGCCAGGGCGGCACCCACCCCCAGGGGGTCTGCCAGGTAGGCTTGCTTGTTACCCCAGTCGGCAGCCCCCTGCTGCCGCAGCCAGGCAGCCGAGCTGGCCCAGTTGGTGCCCAGGAAGTCTCGGTAGGAAGTCAGGCCCAGGTGCAGGAGCAGCTGCGGCCCCTGCGAGCCGGCGGGCGCCAGGGACGCAGAGTGCAGGCGGAACTTGGGAGCATCAAACAGCCAGGGCTGGGCCTGGAGCCGGCTCTCCCAGGCAGCAGCGATGGCTCTGTCCCCTCCTGGCAGCGGGCGACGGTCGTAGGCCGGGCTCAGCTCAGCCCGAACTTGATCCTCGGGCAGACCGCCCAGGGGGCACTGCAGCAGCAGAGACACCTCGGGGTCCATGGTCTGGACAGGGCAGGTCCGGGTAAGGTCACAGTTTGCACCCCCCTGGGCAGTCAAGTGTCTTAGCATCCAGCAGGCGCCCGAGACTCCAGCTGCCAGACGTCCCAGGGACTCCCGGGCACCCCTACCACCCGAGGCCCTGAGTCCAGTCCCCCCTAATGTCCACGTCTCCCAACCCCAGGGGTCAGGGACCCCTCCCAGGGTGCAGAAGCTCCATCGGGGCTCGGAGCCCGCGGTGCGGCCGCTCCCCCTGGGGAGTGGGTGAGCTCGCTTGTCCGTCTGGCCCTCCCGCATCTTCCGCCCCACGTCTCCCAAACCCAGGGGTCAGGGACCCCTCCCAGGGTGCAGAAGCTCCAGCCTCCGGCGGGCACTCACCGCCACTTCGGCCAGCAGTCCCCGCCCCTTTCCCCGAGCGGAAGTGCCCGCCCCTCCTGCCCTGGCTTCTCCTGGGCCTCGGTGTCCCGTCTGCACCAGGGGTTGGGGTGGGAAGGGAATCAATGCGCTGAATATGCCCCCGTCCGAGCGCTCCTGTCCCGAGGCTGTGGCTTTCCGGGCGAGCTGGAGTCATGCGAGGTCCTTAACAGTCCCCACTTGCCACTGCGCCCCCAGGTTTTGGCCGTGAACTCTGGAGAGAGGAAGCTGGAAGCAGCAGGGCCCAGAGGCAGAAGGGCTCGCAGACCCCGGGAACAGGTGCGCCCCTGCCACCCTCACTCCCCATGCCCGGTGGAAGGGGCGGTAAGGGATCCGAGCCCTGGCTCCCTGGGAAATGCTGGTGGGGGGTCTGGGGGTCGGGCGGGGTGCTGGTGGTGGTGTCATACTGTTCTCTGGGGAGCACGGGGACTCCTCTCCCTCTGGTCTCCCCCCGGGGCAGGCAGGGCACTCAGAGTTCCGGGTGGGCAGCAGGACAGGCTGCCACGGGGACCAGGAGCCACCTCTGAACTCTTACAGGACCGAGACGTGCAGCTGTCCAAGGCCCTGTCCTATGCCCTGCGCCACGGGGCCCTGAAGCTGGGGCTGCCCATGGGGGCCGGTAAGTGCGGGTCTGGGAGGCTGCGGTAGAGAGGGCTCCAGCGCAGGGAACAGGGCCAGCCTGCCTGTGACTGCTCTCCCCCAGGGCTCCTTCCACAGCCCCATAGGGCACCCAGGCCGCACCCCTCCATTTACAGGAAGACCCTGAGCCCAGTATCATTTCTGGGGCAAACTGGGGGGGAGGAGCCTCTTTTGGCCAGGCCTGCGACCCAAAAACATCCCAAAGGTGGGCACAGGGTGGGGGGATGGCGGTGCAAGTGAGGCTCATTGAGCACCACTGTGAGTCAAGTACTGTGTGTGCTAAAGGAGTCACTTTATCTCCTTTTTTAAAAAAATATTTTTATTGATTTCAGAGAGGAAGGGAGAGGGAGAGAGAGAGAGAGATAGAAACATCAGTGATGAGAGAGAATCATGGATCGGCTGCCTCCTGCACATCCCGCACTGGGGATCGAGCCCGCAACCCAAGCATGTGCCTTGACTGGAATTGAACCCAGGACCCTTCAGTCCGCAGGCCGGCGCTCTACCCATTGAGCCACACCAGCCAGGACAGGGTCACTTTATCTCTGTGACCCTCTATGAGGCAGATGCTATTCCCTTGAACCCTTGTGATCCCCAAGCCCAGGCTCTGCTCTGGTTGTGTCTCCCCCGTTAGCTCTGGCTCAGGACCGAGCAAGTTCAACTCCTGAGCTCCCCGTCTGCCCACAGGCGGCTTCGTGCCCCTGGGCGCCCTCCTGCAGCTGCCCCAGTTCCGCAGCTTCTCAGTGGAAGATGTGCAGCGTGTGGTGGACACCAATGGGAAGCAGCGGTTCGCCCTGCAGCCAGGGGACCCCGGCACCGGCCCTCTCATCCGGGCCAATCAGGGTCACTCCCTGCAGGTGGGCTAACGGGACAAGTGGGAGGGCCAGGTGGGACCCCTGCCTGTGAGGGGGTCTCACTGCTGTCCATCCCCCCGCCCATGCCAGGTACCTGAGTTGGAGCTGATGCCCCTGGAGACCCCGCGGGACCTGCCCCCGATGCTGGTCCATGGCACATTCTGGCAGCACTGGCCCTCCATCCGGCTCAAGGGCCTGTCCTGCCGCGGAAGGACACACATCCACTTGGCTACAGGACTGCCTGGGGACCCTGGTGTCATCAGTGGTCAGTATCCCCGCCCCCAGCTCCTCCCACCCACTCTCTCCTCCCAGGTCCCTCCAGAGGTCCAAAGCCACCCATACCCTGTATGCGGCAGTACCCCCTTTTCCTCACCGAGTCCAGGACCCCAGCCTGCCCGTGTTTGATAACTGCAACCCCAGATGCCCCAGGCCCCAGCTCCAGTTGTCCCTACAGGCATGCGGCCAAACTGCCAAGTGGCCGTGTTCATCAATGGGCCCCTGGCCCTGGCAGGTGAGTGCGGATGTAGCAGGGACTGCCCTAGGCCTTCAGAGAGGGCCCGAGTCCCAGCTCTGGCTCTGTCTGCAGATGGAGTCCCCTTCTGCCGATCTGCGAATGGGGTGATCCTGACTCCCGGAAACGCTGATGGCTTCCTGCTTCCCAAGTACTTCAAAGAGGCCCTGCAGCTACGGCCTACCCGTGAGAACCTCCACGCCACCCTGTTCTTTGTGTCTGAAGCCCGTGTCCTCTGCCAACCCCAGGCTGACTTAGGGCTCCCTTTCTCTAACCAAGTCCTCTCGATCTCAGGAAAACCCCTCTCCTTGGCTGGTGATGAAGAGACAGAGTGTCAGAGTGGCCCCCAGCACAGCTCCAGAGGAAGAAGGATGAGCCAACAATAAAATATTTATTAAAAAAGGAAATGTAGAAAGATTTTTTTAAAAAAAACAAAAACCCTCCAGTTTGAAACCATCAGTTATCATTCTGTGGCTGCAGCCTGCCTTCCTGTGGGCTCAGGGACTGCAACCAGGCCGGGGTGCTGCTCCCGGCCACTCAGGCGAGGGAAGGGTGGTGCTGCCGAGCTCAGGACCGCCCTCCCCCCGCCGGGGGGGGGGGGGGGGGGGGGGGGATACAGAGTCTGGCCCAGCCGGGTCCCTGGTCTGCACAAAGCCAGTGAGAGTGCGGATGTGCCCAGCTCGGTGCGTGGAGAGGGTGTGGGCAGTGAGTCCCAGCGAGTGTGGGCTTAGGAGTGGCCATGGCGGTGGTGAGTGGTACAGGGATCAAGACCGGCCTCAGAAGGCCTCGTGGCCACCTGTGAGCTGCAGGAAGAGGTCCTCGTCCAGTTCCTCCCCTCGGGCCCGCTCCCGCGTCGACAGGAAAATGTAGCCCCCTATGTACTCGTGCACAATGCGGCAGCTGGCAGACACGCAGCTGAAGGCCACGTTGATGTGTTCGTCAAACTCGATGGCCACCTGCAGGGCGGGCAGTCGGAGGGGCTGGCGGGTGGGATAGGGAGCGCCCCGGCAACTGGCGCATGTTGCTGAAGCGCCAGGTCTTGACCACGTCGCCCACGGCCAGGTCGATGCGGATCAGTCGGTTGTTGGCAATGCCCAGGATCTCATCTTTCCTGCTGCCCTTGAACCTGGTCCCCAGAGGACAGATGTGAGCAAGGGCCCCACCCCGCGGCCCGGCGCCTGCCCAGACAGCCTGGTGCAGTGCTCAGGAGTGGGTTGTGCAAGGAAGTCATTTAGGTTCTCTGGGCCTCAAGTTCCTCATCTGGAAAGTGGGAGTTAACCAATGCAATAATTATAATAACGTTTAGCAGCGTCAGCAAATACTCTATGCCTTTAAATAACTTTTTTTGCCGGGGGGGCGTGGCTCAGTGGTTGAGCTTCTAACTATGAACCAGGAAGTCACAGTTCGATTCCCAGTCAGGGCACATACCCAGTAGGAGGCATGCAGGAGGCAGCCGATCAATGATTTTCTCTCATCATTGATGTTTCTCTCTCTCTCTCCTCCCTTCCTCTCTGAAATCAATAAAAAATATTCATTTACATGAGTAACTTTTTTGTATCATCTGTTGCCTCGATCATATCTCCGCAGGCTTGGAAATGGGCAGGGGCACTCCCGGTCCCGGCAGCCACGCTGGCCCCATCCCACAGACCGGATCCCAGCGGTCGGGAGAGGGAAGGGTCCGCGGCCGAGCTGGGACGGAGCTGGTCTCCTGTTCTCCTGGCCTGCTCTCTCTGTGTTTGCTGTGGGGGTGCAGGATGGGTGGGGCACAGGGGGTGCCCTCAGTCAGCTCTGCCCACAGAGACCAGGACGGGAGGTTCAGGGTGAGGGTGGAGAGGACCGGCTGGGGCTCTTACTTGACTATGAAGTAGGAGATACCGAAGTCAGGCAGGGACTGCCAGGCCTGGATGAAGCGCAGCTGGGCCTCGGACAGGGGGAGCTGGGCCACGTTCTGGTGGGCTTCCAGGATCCGGGGGGTGAGCTGTGGGGCCACACTGGTGAGGGGCATCCAACATCCCCGTGGCCCCCTGGCTGCCCCCACCAGCTGAGCTAGGGCAGGGGCAGTGCCCACTGTGCGCCCCCAGAGTGCACCCTCTCACCGCTCATCACCTATGAGCTGGGCCAGGCCCGGAGGTGGATGTGGGCAGCGGGACTGTGCCCCCCTCTCCTCTGGGAGGGGACGAGTGCACTGTCTCAGGGACGCGGGGGGAGAGGAATGAGTGAGCACACGGCTTTGCAGGGGAAGGCTCGGTGGAGGCCCAGGGCCCGAGGTGGCCAGGTAAACGCTGTGGCCATTCCCACCGCCCACGCCCTCTGGCACCTGTTTGGCCTTGAACTTGCGCTGGAAGCGGGGGGCGACCAGGCCATACGGGTTGAGGCCCTCCGCGGAGGCATCCAGGCCCTGGGGCTGGCTGCCCGGACCCCCGGTGCCCGCCCGCTGCAGGCTGAGGAAGGCCAGGATGCCCTGCACCTCGTTGGCGTAGCTGCTGTCCGCCATGGTGCGGCCCTTGGAGGCCAGGCGGCAGCCGGCCATCCAGCGGGCATACTGCTGCTCCTGGGGGGAGGAGGGGCTGGTTAGGGCCTGGCCGGGCTCTGGGTCAGCCCCCTGCCCCCTCCCGCCTCCGCCCGGCCCCGGGCTCTGCCGGCCCTCACATCCTGGCACCGCAGGTAGAGTTCACTCATGCCCTCAGGCGAGGGCACCAGGAGTTTGATGCAGAATTTCTGGCCGGAGACGTTGACATCCGGGACCACCTCACAGCCTGGAGGGAGATGGGCGGGTTAGAAGGCGGAGAGGGGGACCCCGCCGGAGAGGGGGACCCGGGGGTCAGAGGCCACCTGCCAGTGCCGGCGGCGCAGCGGCCTGCGCACAGGGCGTCCTCCCTGGCACTCGGAGGAACGGGGGTGCACCCCCCGGCCAGCCCCTCACTCGCCCTTGAGGTTGAGCTGCTGAATGGGGTCCCCCGGGGCTTCGTCCTGGCTCTTGTAGTAGGACAGCGTGGTCTCCTTGAACACCACCCAGTGCTGGCGGTACCCTTTCAGGGTCAGCTTCCGGGGCCTGAGGGGGAGGCGGGTCAGAGGCCACCTTCCTCCTCTCTCCACGCTGCCCCCGCCCCCCGCGGGGCTGCCAACTCTGCCCCCCACTCACCGCAAGATGCGGAGATGGTCCTTCAGCTCGGGGATGGCGGTGAGGCTGTCCTGGGGGGGAGGGGAGTCAGCGGCCCGGCTCCGGCTTGCCCCTGGCCCACCCTGGCCGAGCCCCTCTCACCAGCACTCCCCTCCCCGCTCTGCGACAGCTTGTTGATGTGGTACTGGGGGGGTGGGGGGCGCATGGCCAGGGCGGGCTCAGTGGGCAGCCCATCCGCCCAGCCCGGCCCTGAGCTGGGCTTCCCTGGAGAGGGGGCCCCCACCTGGAGGACCCTTCCTGCCCTGGGCCTGGCCTGCACCCCTGCCACCCCGGGTCCCGGCCGCCTGGCACCTGCAGGGCTGCGAACACCATCATCTCCTCCTCGGTGCAGTCAATCTCC